ATAATAAAGGTCAGATAAGAAATAACTGAAAAAGAAATGAACGAAACAATAGAAAGATCCATAAAACTAAAAGCTGATTCTTTGAGAAGATAAAGAGAATTGATAAACCATTAGCCAGACTCATCAAGAAAAAAGGTAGAAGACTCAAGTCAATAGAATTAGAAATGAAAAAGCAGAAGGAAAAACTGACACTACAGAAATACAAGGATCATGAGAGATTACTACGAGCAACTATATGCCAATAAAATGGACAACCTCAAAGAAATGGACACATTCTTAGAAAAGCACAACCTTCTGAGACTGAACCAGGAAGAAATAGAAAATATAAACAGACCAATCACAAGCACTGAAATTGAAACTTTGATTAAAAATTTTCCAACAAACAAAAGCCCAGGACCAGATGGCTTCACAGGAGAATTCTATCAAACATTTAGAGAAGAGCTAACACCTATCCTTCTCAAACTCTTCCAAAATATAGCAGAGGGAGGAACACTCCCAAACTCATTCTACGAGGCCACCATCACCCTGATACCAAAACCAGAGAAAGATGTCACAAAGAACGAAAACTACAGGCCAATATCACTGATGAGCATAGATGCAAAATGCTCAACAAAATACTAGCAAACAGAATCCAAGAGCACATTAAAATGATCATACACCATGATCAAGTGGGGTTTATCCCAGGAATGCAAGGATTCTTCAATATACGCAAATCAATCAATGTGATACACCATATTAACAAATTGAAGGAGAAAAACCATATGATCATCGCAATAGATGCAGAAGAATATTTTGACAAAATTTAACACCCATTTATGATAAAAACCCTCCAGAAAGTAGGCATAGAGGGAATTTACCTCAACATAATAAAGGCCATATATGACAAACGCACAGCCAACATCGTCCTCAATGGTGAAAAAGTGACACCATTTCCATGAAGATCTGGAATAAGACAAGGTTGCCCACTTTCACCACTGTTACTCAACATTGTTTTGGAAGTTTTAGCCACAGCAATCAGAGAAGAAAAAGAAATAAAAGAAATCCAATTCAAAAAAGAAGAAGTAAAGCTGTCACTGTTTGCAGATGACATGATACTATACGTAGAGAACCCTAAGGATGCTACCTGAAAACTACTAGAGCTAATCAATGAATTTGGTAAAGTAGCAGGATACAAAGTTAATGCATAGAAATCTCCTCCATTCCTATACACTAATGATGAAAAATCTGAAGAGAAATTAAGGAAACACTCCCATTTACCATTGCAACAAAAAGAATAAAATACCTAAGAATAAACCTACCTAAGGAGACAAAGACCTGTATGCAGAAAACTATAAGACTCTGATGAAAGAAATTAAAGATGATACAAACAGATGGAGAGATATACCATGTTCTTGGATTGGAAGGATTAACATTGTGAAAATGACTATACTACCCAAAGCAATCTACAGATTCAATGCAACCCCTATGAAACTATCACTGGCATTTTTCACAGAACTAGAACGAAACATTTCATGATTTGTATGGAAACACAAAAGATCCTGAATAGCCAAAGCAATATTGAGAAAGATAAATGGAGCTGGAGGAATTAGGCTCCCGACTTCAGACTATACTACAAGTTACAGTAATCAAGACAGTATGATACTGGCACAGAAACAGAAATATAGATCAATGGAACAGGATAGAAAGCCCAGAGATAAACCCACACACATACGGTCACCTTCTTTTTGATAAAGGAGACAAGCATATACAATGGAGAAAAGACAGACTCTTCAATAAGTGGTGCTGGGAAAACTGGACAGCTACATGTAAAAGAATGAAATTAGAACACTCCCTAACACCATACACAAAAATAAACTCAAAATGGATTAAAGACCTAAATGTAAGGCCAGACATTGTAAAACTCTTAGAGAGAAACATAGGCAGAACACTCTATGACATAAATCACAGCAAGATCCTTTTGGACCCACCCCCTAGAGAAATGGAGATAAAAACAAAAATAAACAAGTGGGACCTAATGAAACTTAAAAGCTTTTGCACAGCAAAGGAAACCATAAATAAGACAAAAAGACAACCCTCAGAATGGGAGAAAATATTTGCCAAGGAAGCAACTGACAAAGGATTAATCTCCAAAATTTACAATCAGCTCATGCAGCTCAATATCAAAAAAACAAACAACCCAATCCAAAAATGGGCAGAAGACCTAAATAGACATTTCTCCAAAGAAGATATACAGATTGCCAACAAACACCTGAAAGAATGCTCAACATCATTAATCATTAGAGAAATGCAAATCAAAACTACAATGAGATATCATCTCACACTGGTCAGAATGGCCATCATCAAAAATTCTACAAACAATAACTGCTGCAGAAGGTGTGGAGAAAAGGGAACTGTCTTGCACTGTTGGTGGGAATGTAAATTGATACAGCCACTATGGAGAACAGTATGGAGGTTTCTTAAAATACTAAAAATACAATTACCATACAACCCAGCAATCCCTCTACTGGGCATATACCCTGAGAAAACCATAATTCAAAAAGAGTCATGTACCACAATGTTCACTGCAGCTATTTACAGTAGCCAGGACATGGAAGCAACCTATGTGTCCATTGACAGATGAATGGATAAAGAAGATGTGGCACATATGTACAATGGAATATTGCTCAGCCGTAAAAAAGAAATGAAATTGAGTTATTTGTAGTGAGGTGGATGGACCTAGAGTCTGTCATACAGAGTGAAGTCAGTCAGAAAGAGAAAAACAAATACTGTATGTTAACACATATATATGGAATCATAAAGAAAAATGGTCATGAAGAACCTAGGGGCAGGATGGGAATAAAGATGCAGACCTACTAGAGAATGGACTTGAGGACACGGGGAAGGGGAAGGGTAAGCTGGGACAAGGTGAGAGAGTGGCATGGACATACATACACTACCAAATGTAAAATAGATAGCTGGTGGGAAGCAGCCGCATAGCACAGGGAGATCAGCTCCGTGCTTTGTGACCACCTAGAGGGGTGGGAGGGAGGGAGACATAAGAAGGAAGAGTTATGGGGATATATGTACATGTATAGCTGATTCACTTTGTTATAAAGCAGAAACTAACACACCATTGTAAAGCAATTATACTCCAATAAAGATGTTAAAAGAAAGATGAAAGGTAAATATAGGATTGGGACAGGGCAAAATGGGCTACGGCACCTTCTATGTATCTGCTACATACTTCTGAGCCACTGCTAGCCTCAGGGGCAAAACTAAGCCAGTGGAAGCCAAAAGTAAACCCAGAGGCTGAGGGGTCGTGGTCATGTATGAGCATGGACGTGTTGTCTTATCACTTCTTGGCTGTTGAGCCAATGAGGAAGACCTTTGATAGGGCAATAGGAAGAAGAGCTATACATCATGGAGATCAATGCCTGGAAAACAATGATGAGAACACATCCAAGCTCAGCCTATCAATCAAAAAACCTTAAGAGGCATTTGGCTGTGTTCAATGCACTTATCCCCTGATCACTGGATGATGATGTTCATTTCAACATCAATGCTTTGTGCAGACCATGAGGCTAAGAGCAAGCCACCACAAGAGGGAAGATGTACTACAAGACAAATGACCAATGGGCAGGATGCTTTTGGATACAGGAAAAAAGAATATGAAGCTTTGCCATCCATCTTAGCAGCAACAACATGACTTCCTATATATACATGAAGACAAGTGAGTGAGTGAGTGAGGAGATAAGTAGACAAAGAGATCACAAGTAATCCATCAGTAGAAAAAAAAAAAAAAACAACCCAGGCATCTTCTGCAACTTGAATAGGTACTGTAATGAATAATTCACTTTCTTTATTTAGTTTCTGCAGTCCCTTGAGCTCAACTTAATCCTTGCATAAAGTGACAGCTGGAAGTAGTATTTCAGTTTTATAACTTGCAGAACATTTCTTGCAGTCAAGTGTTTGGTTTTGTGCCCATGTTTGTTTCTGCGCCTCCTTGTGCAACACAGCAACCCTGCCTTCTCCAAGCCAAGGCCAGACAGAGTCTGAGAGGCAGGTTCCAAGTGGCTGACAGTGCTGTGTTTCAGATATAAGAAGGCATTTCTCCACTGTCTCTCTCTTTTCTTTCTTGGTGACAGGGAAAGTGATTTCTCTGCAATATGACATTTGAAATGATGCCTAGCTTTTGCTAAAGATGAGCAAGCTGCCAGCCCTGAAAGAATTGGGAGGACACGGGATTCTAGAGCCCAAGGAGTGTTGGAAGGCTTATTTGTCACCACTTGTGTGGTTCTAGTAGGAGCTGACCATCTCAATCACCATTGCTCCATCTCCAGGACCTATGGACATTCCAGTGAGGTGGGAAAAAAAGGCAGAAGTAAAGTAAAATAGCCAAGGGTTGTTGATAGAATAAGAGAATAAGTTACACTTCCTAGTAAAGAGTGTAAGAAAGAAAACCATAGAAAGACATATAAGATATAGGCTAAGTATCTTAGATCATTTCATGGATGTCAAAATTAAGACATTATTGTTAAAACTGTGGAAGACTTTGTGAAGAGTAAAATTTAAGGCTTCAGTGTTTACCTTTTCAAAGGAGTTGGTTTCCCTTCTGTTGAATTTACAAAGTAGTTAATAATTCTGCCTTCAACACTTTATAGCAACATTAACCATAGCAGGCGTGAGCTACAGTGATACTGTAAAAAATGAAATTCTGGGGAATCGAAAGTCATAGGCCTACAACTTCTCATTTCCTCCCCATTCTTACCATCAACACTTCACAGCATCTCTGAAAGATTTCAAATGCCTACTCCTTTCTACTCTAACCCTCTGCAAGTATCATTTGGTTATTATCTCCTACTTAAATGTTTGTAATATCTCCCCCAAATTCTTCAGTTAAAAGCAAAGCTCACAATCATGACCTTCCAGATCCATCAGCTATTCATTCATCAAACATTTATTGCATACCTAATGGACGTCAGGCATTTAAGAGGTGTGGGGAATAGAGAGATGAAGTGTGGGTTTATAGTGTTGAGCAACACACAGTTTTGGAGGAGAAACTGGTACACTTACGGCCTTCCACCAGTCAGTGTATGAGTGTGATGGAACATGGAGACAAGACCTCTAAAACCCAAAGCTGGAAAGTATGGGAGGCTTTCCAGGAGAGATGATGAGTAGGTGGCTTTTAAAATAAAAAATAGACATTATCCAGGTGAATAAAGTCCATGTCCAGGGGACAGCATGTACAAGGGCACAGAGGTAGGAAAAACATGGTCCAGAGGACTGAAAGAGAAACAGCATGGCAGGAGGGGAAAACATATGCATAAAGCCAGTGATAAAGTGATAAAGTGATAAAGCCAGTCTGCTAGGTAGGGCCCACTAAGAGCCCTGCAAAGAATTTGGATTTCAACTCCAATGTGATGAGGTGACATCAAACATTTCAAGTAAGAGGACATAAACATGATAATTTTTGTATTTTAGAAAGATGTCTCCAAAAGGTCCATGGAGAATGGATTGATGTAGGAAGACCAATCCAGAAGCTATTAAGGAAGCTAGTAGATAAATAATAAGGAGTTGGATTATAGCCTTGATGATAGAGAAGAGGGTATAGAAAGAAAATATGGAGAGATAAAATTTAGAAACAGAGCTGATAATATCTGGTCACAAATGATATTGGGAAGCTACCTTTAAAGGAGAGAGAGAAATCCAGGAGCATCCCCAGTTAACCAATTTGTGACTTTGAAGAATGACCAGATCTGGGAGCAGAGACAGACTCAGCTGTAGGCATGTTGTTTTTGAATGACCTTTGTATGTACAAGTCTATGCTGTAGGGTACATACTAGAGCAGGATGTACATATCTGTTATCAGCATATTAGTTACATACATATTAGTTAAAAACTGGGCGAGCAGATGAGATTCATTTAGGTTTTATTCCTAAAACACATAATCAATGATCTAAAAGTTGAGTTGAAAGAGTTATATCGTGGAAGCCAAAGGAAAAAAGAATTTTAAGAAAGAAGTGGTCCACAGTATTAAATACAGCAAAGGTGTTCTATAAGATAAAGCCCCAAACTATCGTATATGGCAACTCTGTGAACTTTCCACAACAGTTTCATTCAAATGTTAGAGAAATCAGAGTGTAGAGAGCTGAGAAGTGAAAGAAAGGCCAGACATAGCGAAAATGTAAGTACAACTGAATCATCTAGCAAGGACTAGGTTATGCTGCAGCAGCGAGCAATTCTCAAATCTCAGCGGCTTAACACAACAGAGGTTTATTTATTTATTGTGCTATGTGTCCAATGCAGGTCATCAGGGGCCTCTGTTCAACACAGGAGGCTCTCCCAACACAGGCATTTATAATTGTTGCCCCAAGAAAAAGAGAACAGCTGTGTCCCATAATGGCAACTAAGTGCTTTCTCCTGGAAGCAATACCTGACACTTCATTCTTATTTTACGGGCCAAGGCAAATCAACATGGCCACACAAGGCAGAGAAGTACAACGCTACTACACATGCAGAGAGAGAACTAGGATATCTGTGCAGAGTCTTCGTGAGGGGATATGGGCACCAGTAGCTACAAAGGGCCGTTAAGTTAGAGGAGAGATTTTTGTCTGGTTAAGATGGGACAGACAATGGCACTGGTGAAGTGTGTGTCCACAGCTCACACTCTGTGCTCTCGTGTGCAACCCACCCAGTAAACCCCATTCATGTCTAATATCTCTGCAGGAATATCCTTCCTATGTTGCTGTGTTGGGCACATCTTCAAAACGCTGCTCAAGAATCACCTCATTCAAGAACCTGTCCATTGATAAGCTTGATACTTACTTAACATTGATAAACTTGGTTACTCGTGTTCAAGTTCATTTAGGTAAGTATATTTTCTTATGTTTCTATTGTTGACTTCTTTGTGTCTTTTTCACATGTTTTGAAGTCCTTTCGCCGAACCCTTTTTTGCAGTACGCGGGCCTCTCACTGCTGTGGCCTCTGCCGTTGCGGAGCACAGGCTCCGGACGCGCAGGCTCAGCGGCCATGGCTCCCGGGCCCAGGCGCTCCGCGGCATGTGGGATCCTCCCGGACCGGGGCACGAACCCGCGTCCCCTGCATCGGCAGGTGGACTCTCAACCACTGCGCCACCAGGGAAGCCCCTGGTTCCTTTCTTTCGATGGGGTAACTGGCCACAAGGTATGTACTCAGTCCATGATGTTGGCTAAACAACTGGTTTTTCATTGGCCAGAGAAGACCTTTCTGCAAATTTCTTTGCACCTGGTCACCCTTGAGCACATGGAGTCATTTATACAATGGTTTATGAAGAAAACTGCAGCTGGTTTTGTCCATGGCTGAAGAGGCAGGAAATTGAGCAGCAGTGTCCTAACTCTTATGGAAACTCCACCCCATGTACTGGCACCATGGTAATTTTGCTTAGTCTGCTTCCTGGGACTAGCCCACACCTGTCAAGTTCTCACTTTAAAAACTCACAGGTGCATTTACCACATATTTATACCCTCAAAGTCATATGCAAAGGCATTGCTACCGAGCTGAGACACCTCCTCAAGAAGGCTCACAAAGGAGTTGTTTTTATGATGACCGATTTATTCAGATTTGCCTTCAGTCTCTCCTCTGGCCCTACAGGACCATGGCCATACGTGTGCAGAGCACCTCTCTGGGTCCCGAGTATAGGCTGATCTGTGGGACGGGTGCTAACTGTCCCCTACGCTTCAAAACCATAACCTTGGCCTCATCAGCAGTATCCGAGCTACTGAGCTCAACAGCCACAGATAAGCAAACTCCAGAGGGCTTTGGAAGTGAAACAGGTGCATATGCTTTGGGGTAAGGATTTCCATGATGCTCAGAGCTGAAAATGTAGATTCAGTCATCAGGTTTTTAAGCCAGGGGGAGTCACAGAAACAACCCACACACAAAATAAATAGTTCAATGCCTAACCCAACAGACCAGGAGAGGCTTTTAAAAGAAAAGGGAAAATCTGTCAAGAAGTGAGTTTGATGGGAGGATGAGTGAGGCTTCAAAGACACTGTATGATTAGGGAAAAGCTAAGCAACAGCTATTTGGATGTATGCTGAGGACAAGTAACGATTGTGATCCAACGAAGCTACTAAGTGTCTTTTCCACAGAAGTGAGAAAATGCAGTTTGGGGGTCTTGCTAATTTCAGCTCTTGATTCAGGGTAGCAGAAATACTCACGAAGCCCTGCAGCCAAATTATAATCATAAATAATTTTCCTCTCAAGTGAGTTGACTCCAGTTGGCACTTATCGGCTTACAGATCAGCACAAATATTTTTATAATGAGCCATAAAAGGGGGAAAGTATAGTCTAGACTGGCAGTCAGAAATCCCGCTGTTTTCTCTCAGCAACTCGACTGAATCTGATCTGGATGACTGGCCCAAACTGATAATATCAGCTCCCTGACTTTTTACATGAGAACAGGATCTTACCTTTCAAGCGGCATAAAGTGTTACAAGAATGGGCAGCATGTACTTCAGGGCTGGGTGGTTGGACCATTGAGTGATTCCCAACACAATCCCTGGTGCCTCCCTCCCTACCCCTACCTCTATTCACTAAATCACACATTTCTTTTTATTCTTTTTTCCCCTCCACTCCCACCTCCTCCTATCTATCTATCTATCTATCTATATATATATAAATTTATTTATTTATTTATTGGCTGCATTAGGTCTTTGTTGCTGCGTGTGGGCTCTCTCTCGTTGCGGCGAGCGGGGGCTACTCTTTGTCGCGGTGTGCAGGCTTCTCATTGCAGTGGCTTCTCATTGTTGCAGAGCATACGCTCTAGGCACACGGGCTGCAGTAGTTGTGGCATGCGGGCTCAGGAGTTGTGGTTCGCGGGCTTAGTTACTCCGCGGCATGTGGGATCTTCCCAGACCAGGGCTCGAACCCGTGTCCCCTGCATTGGCAGGCAGATTCTTAACCACTGCACCACCAGGGAAGTCCTATATTATTCTTATTTTCTCAGTGTTTCTCCATTTTGATACTGATGTCCTGATACAGCCTGATGTTTCAGTCCTGCTAGTGATACCCACTACCAAGCTTCACGGAAGGAATGGTTGAAGAGGCAACCGTCCCTTTATTTACAGTGAAGATGTTGCTAAAATAGAAGTTCCATGAGGGCAAACATAGTGTCTGTCTTGTACAGAGTAGGCACTTAATAAATATAAACATGTAGTGTTTAATATTTTTTTAGTAATTAAAACACATTTCTCTTGATTTTTCTGATAAAATTACACATGAACATTGTCAAGGTACTGTATCCCATCGCCATTCCCCAAACATTCTAAAGCACAAGGAGCAGAAAGCTGCTTGTTTTGGATTGAATGTGTCCCCCCAAAATTCATATGTTGAAATTTAATCTCCAACGTGGTGGTTTTAGAAGTGGAGCTTTGGGGAGGTGATGGCGTCATGAGAGTGGAGCCCTCATGCATGGGATTGGTGTCCTTATAAGAAGAGGTCAGAGAACGAGCTGGCTCTCTTTGTACCACAGGAGGCTATGAGAAGTTAGCAGTCTGCATCCTGGAATAGGGCCCTTGCCAAAACTAGTCAATGGGGCACTCTGATCTCAGACTTCAGCCTCTAGAACTGAGATAAATAAATTTCTGTTGTTTATAAGCCAGCCAGTCTATGGGACTTCATTATAACAGCCTGAACAGACTGAGACACTGTTTATGGAGTATCCAGTCTCTGAATATTTCCAGCCAGCCTCTCAATCAGTGGTTCTATTTCAGTAAAAGCAAGAGAATAGAAACGGAAATAGAACCAGGAAATAGCTTGGATGTCCCAAACTCATTTGTTCACTTAGGACCAGACTTTCATTAGGATTTTGGAAACTCCTGTTGACATTGTTGTCTTCTAACATTTTCCCTTGCAGCTAAGAATCTCAGGCCATTAAAAAGAAACAAAACAAAAAAAACACTGTGGGGTAACTATAATATGAAGTCTGTAGGAAACTCTGAGAAACATGAGTGTTTTATCAGAGAGGTGCTGGGTTACAGCTCAGCAGACTTGTTGAAAGAGGGTAGGTCCAAAATGTAATAATAGAAGGAAGCAAGCAATGTTCAACATTTCTGGTCTAATAAATCAGGGGAGATGTTTTTTGATTTTACTCTTCCAGGACTGAATGTCCTGACCTAGCCTCCAAATTCCATTGACTGGTAACCAGCACAGGCCAGTTAACAACTACTTACTAAGTACTACTGTGACCAGCGAAGCCCTCCAAGTCATTATGCAATTTGTTTATTCCATGACATGTTTTGAATTTAGAGACTAAAATCACATTCTATAAACTCAGACTGCTATTTTAAATTTAAGGCAATTTTTGCCAAGGCAAATGGAAATTTAGAATAAAATATCATCATTAGGACAGTCAGCATCCTACCTTCCAAATCATATTTAGGAAAACCAGAATTCTACAACTATGCTGTTCTTTGAAAACTGAAACACAAACTACTTTTATCCAAGAGGGTCTTTGCAGATATGCACCATCCCCACAATTTTACTCTAGATAGAAGGAAATGACTTAGGAAATACAAAGATATGTAATGTCTTATAGTCCAACCAGGTGAAACCAAGTCACTCCATTTACCAGTGGGATGACAGAATATTTTAGCTTAATGTCACAATTTGATTTTGTGACATATACTTTGACTACTTCATATTAACACTGGTGGTCCAGTGGTGCATTTCCCAGTTCCTGTGTTAACCCAGAAATGCCCATCAGACCCCGTCCCTCAGGAAGGGAAGCTAATATTTTCCAAGGAAATAAAGCCTAACAGAATGATGTTGTGATAATATTACCAAACCAAACTTGGGTCTGCTAACCCAAGCAAAGCCAACCTACTGACACCAGGTTTTGGTGAAGGGAAGTACAGTGTTTATTGCAGGGCCAAGCAAGGAGAACAGGCCGCTCATGCTCAAAAGACCCAAACTCCCAAACACTTTCAGGGAAGGTTTTTTTTTTAACATCTTTATTGGAGTATAATTGCTTTACAGTGTTGTGTTAGTTTTTGCGGTATAACAAAGTAAATCAGCTATATGCATACATATATCCCCATATCCACTCCACTCTTGCATCTGCCTCCCACCCTCCTTATCCCATCCCTCTAAGTGGTTGTAAAGCACTGAGCTGATCTCCCTGTGGCATGCAGCTGCTTCCCACTAGCTAACTATTTTATATTTGGTAGTGTATATATGTCAATGCTACTCTCTAACTTCATCCCAGCTTACCCTTCCCCCTCCCCATGTCCTCAAGTCCATTCTCTATATCTGTGTCTTTATTCCTGTCCTGCCTTTAGGTTCTTCACAAACATTTTTTTTTTTGTTTAGATTCCATATATATGTGTTAGCATACAGTATTTGTTTTTCTCTTTCTGACTTACAGACTTATTTCATTCTGTATGACAGACTCTACATCAATCCACCTCACTACAAATAACTCAATTTCGTTTCTTTTTTTGGCTGAGTAATATTCCATTGTATAAATGTGCCACATCTCCTTTATCCATTCACCTGTTGATGGACACGTAGGTTGCTTCCATGTCCTGGCTACTGTAAATAAAGCTGCAATGAACATTGTGGTACATGACTCTTTGATTTATGGTTTTCTCAGGGTATATGCTTAGTAGTGGGATTGCTGGGTCACATGGTAGTTCTATTTTCAGTTTTTTAAAGAACCTCCATACTGTTCTCCATAGTGGGTGTATCAGTTTACATTCCCACCAACAGTGCAAGAGGGTTCCCTTTTCTCCACACCCTCTGCAGCATTTATTGTTTGTAGATTTTTTGATGATGGCCATTCTGACCAGAGTGAGGTGATATCTCATTGTAGTTTTGATTTGCATTTCT